ATGGATATAGGCTGCGGCTTCTGGCTCCTGCCTCGGCACTTACGGGATCTGCCCCCTACAATTCTTACATTGAATGGGCCCATTCTGATTTTAACACTTAGATCCTGATCACACCTAGGTAGGCCTGAAAATTACTTTATCTTTGTAACAGTGTAATTTTCATAGTGTTTCAGGAGCCGCATAACTTTGTCTAATATGGAGAGTGTTGGTGAAAGTTGAGTAAAGAGGAAGTGGACATGCAATAAATGTGTATGAATCCTAACAAAATAAATTCTGGGAAGTTCCTTTTTTTTTCCATCCCAGCTCAGAGTTGAGATTTTTTTTAGTGTATGCTGGTGTTGGTAATGTAGATTTTTCACATAACTACACTGAAATGGAAATAAAAGTTCTCTTACTTAATGACAAGTATAGATTGCATTTACTATTGAAAAGAACTGCAGATGTGTTGTACTATACACAGACAGTATAATGAAATATTAGTAATACATTAAAAATGTTTTTTCCTCTTCTGAAAATATTTTTAGTTCTGAGCCATCTGAAGATGAAGAATCCCAAGGCCTTCCTACCACAGCATGTAGAAATGATGATATTTCAGAATTGGAAGACCTTTCGGAATTGGAAGATCTTAAAGATGCTAAACTTCAGACTTTGAAGGAACTTTTTCCACAAAGAAGTGACAGTGATTTACTTAAGGTTATATTCTTTTATAGTAATTGGTTATTGTAGCTGTAATGATGATAAAATCTTTCCTGCATCCAGTGCTATAGTTAGTAGTGAGTGGTTAGTCATTTTTCTAAAGATATCTTATGTTTAAAGATATTGACTATTAAATCTAAAGGAATTAAATGCCAGAAATTTGTGTATCAGAAGTCTTTACTTATTAACAGACAAGGTTATTCATTTGTAAATAATAGAATAATTAAAGCCTTACTAGTGAACATAGGTTGTTTTCTTGTGTTTGAGTGTTTCTAAAATGCGTGACCTCCCTGTTTCCACTAGAAATACTCAGAAATGTCAGGAACCACCCCACAAAACTGTGACAAGGGTTTGCAGTGACATTTAGTGTGCTGGAGGCAGCAATGCTAAACGCCCTACAGTACCACGGGCAGTCCTACATAACTAAGGATCCTTAGTCCTCCAGTAGCACTCTTGCTGAGAAATACTATAGAAGCAAAATAAATGGGTATGGTTGAACTGTAAAAGTTTGATGTATAGGTATCTCTGATTATAAGAGTAAATAAAAATTGGCCAATTAAGTTTTAAATAAAGAATAAATTTCTGAATATTAATAAACAGTCTAACCCTAGCTCTACCACTTATTAGTTAAATGATCTTAGGGGAATCATTTAATTGCAGGTTCTTTGTATTTTCAACTTTGCATCTATTGTTGCTGCTACCACTACCAGTTCTCCCCACAATGTGAGACTTAGGAGTTATCGTATCTGTGTCAACTAGACAGGTAACTTTGAAGTGGTAGACGCTAGTATACTGTGGAGTACATACTCTTTTTTTTTTTTTTTTTTTTTTTTTTTTTTTTTG